ACATTTAAAAAAAAAAAAAAAAAACCCGGGGAAAAAAAAAAAAAAAAAAAAAAAAAAAAAAAAAAAAAAAAACTAAAATTTTGTTCATTATAGTTTTCTGGATCAAACACCATGGAAGAGGCTTTAGATAAAATCATTTCGAGCTGATCAATAAATATAATACCCAAATTAAATACCAGCCAAAGGTTCCATCAGATACCAAACACCACATACTAACTGATATATATTGCATAAGGCAAAAGGTACTACCTAGATTGACATTCATCATCTTCTGCAATATCAAACAATAACTTCGGAAGAGAAGCAATTCGTGGAAGATTAATCAGAAAATCTCCAAATGAATCTATTCTTGGCATGGGAAGTACCTGCTTAAAACCAGATCCATCCTTGAAATCCTCCTCAAAAGCCAGAATACCATTATGGGCCTTCTTGTGCGGAGACTTAAAATTCTTTCCACAATCAGTGCCTGCATATTGACTTTCTCCATCAATTTTTGCACTGGAAGCTGTAGCAGGATCCTGCAGGAGGCAGCAGAGAGAATTGACCTTTTTCATGAGCGATTTCTCGTCCAAACCTGCTGTAGATTGAGTGTCGCTTAGCAAATCCTGTGCTATGTTTTCCAGCATGTCCTGGCATTCTGATGCCTCGTCCGAAGGTAAACTTCCAGAAGTCAGCTGTTCTGAAATACAATGTCCAATGTGGTTCACAAGATCATCCATTGACATTGCGGGACGGAGACCTGGTGAATTCAATTGTTCCCAATTTTTTTGTCCTTGAAAATCACACCTTTCAGCAATTCCATTTCCTTCAGTTGCACGCAAATCCATCACTAGTAATATTGGAGAAGATAAGTCATAATTAGAAACAAACCGTTCTTCCTATCTCTAAATATCTCCATGCATTCTTAAGCACACAAGCATGACATATACAATGTAACACTGAATGGTAACATTTCCACAGTTAGTGCAGTTCACAGTATAAGCAACTATAAACTGATAATCATGAAGGCAACTAACATATTGGTAACAGCATCAACATGTGGCAAGGTAGTGGTACAATGTACATGGCACATTGTGAACGTAGATAATAATTATGCAACAAAGTTCAGTACAAAACAGAAATTTGTGAATCAATGAGAGCACAAAACACTGAAACTCGTCAAATAACAAGCTTTATAGTTATGATGGACAATCTGGTGAAACAAAGCCATATAGGTGAAGTGAAAACGTTCTCTATCAAAAGCAGATTGCTAACTAATTCAAAAATTGATCTTTGAAGACAAAATGTGGATATTGACAACACAAGTTTTAAATAAGAAGTTAGGAACAGACAATTCCTTACTGTATATGTACGGCTTATTTATTCATGTTGTAATCATTTGTGCACAAAATAAATAAATAAATAAATGAAGAACAAAAAAAAAATACTGAAAATGACTTTCATTATAGGGACGAGAAAAGACATACCTAAGGTGGGGGGTAGAGCTTCTTTAGGGACATTTTCAGTTGACACAGAACATGATTGTAAAGCATCTGCAGATACTACATCTTGGAAGCCAGATGAAGAAGATCCTTTAGCAGCAGCCAGTTGGTTAAATTCATGGTTTTTAGATTGCTCTAGATCTTTGAGAACAGGAAGTTGGGAGTCGAAATATGGTGACTCCATAACTGTTTTGGTCTGTCGGCTCAAATTATTAAGGCGCACGTCACACTGGATCAGCTTTTCATAATGCTTGTTTAACAGGGCAGGAGGGCACAGGAGAAAATGTTGCCTATTCAATAGCATCAAAACAAACAGTCAGTTCAGTTAAAACGCAGCAAAAAAGTTTTGCATCTTAGAGTATATAGGTAAAACTCTTCCTATTTAAATCTATCACTAAAATATTCAACATTGAGATGACAAGGTACTTTAAACATTCAACTCTCAAGTTAGAATATATAGCCACTTATTTAGATCTCGTTGTTTTCTTGCAGCAATCAAACGATACGGAGACATCAAAAAGAACTCGGAGACTGTAGAATTTGGATTTTTTAGTTCAATTATGTCTCACAGCATATGCTTTATTTCCACCATTGGCTTGGAATAAATCACATTAACACAGGAAAGCCTAGTAAGAACACTTGAAAAACTATTCGTCCTTCTTCAGTCATCAGTAAATTGCAGGAAGAGATTCAAACATACAAGATAGAAGATGCAGTATCATCTGATTAAATTTACTCTCACAAGGGTGGGAATTCCTCTGTTGCCTAGGAATTATGGCGTTAAAAGTAATGCATCCACAAGTTGAGACATAATTCATGCACGTGTCAAAAATTGTATACATGCCAAATATCTTTTTCCTGTACTTAACATGGCACAAAGCTTATCTACATCTCAAATAGTCACACAGTAACTCGCCTTCAAATTTTTTTGCATGAGGTTAGATCATCGAAACCATATAGCCTAAAGAAAGAAAATGTATGAAAAATACTAACTATTACCTATTTATGCTAGCCTGTCCATGAGTAAAGTCAGAAGTTGCCTGCCAAAGAGTGTGTTTCTTTGGCTGTGGGTCGGTCTCCCTGAAAAAAGTAGGCTGGCGAGCCAACTGAACCAGACAAGATCATGGTAATTCTTAGAGTAGTAAACCAAGAAAGAAATCACATACTTTTGGTAGTAGACAAAAATCAATTGGTATGACGAAATAAAAGAAGAAAATAAATACCAGAACTGTTAAAGAGGCAGGACCATTATCAGGAAAGTTTGCCTTCACAGACATTATATCAGACCATTGAATTTCTATTTTACTCTTGAGACCACCTTCAAGAACTTCCCAGACAAGTTTATGCTTAGCAAAGTACCACTTCGCTACCAAATCACCTTCATATCTTGACACATACTGCCAAAAGATGCTATGTTAGCAACATGCAACAGGTTTAGCAAATATAAAGGTAACAATTAGTGAGGATCTCCTCTCTACTTCTTCCAAAATAATTTTTAAAAGTTAGATCAATACTTGATAGATTTCAATATTTCGTAATCATATTTGATTCCCAACACTTCATTCTGATCAAGTTGATTTCTTCTATACTGAAGTTGCTTTTAAAATTAATTAAGTCAAGTTTTCAAAACTTAGTCAAACCAAAAGGTGAATTTGATGAACATAAACTGATTCAATGAACATATGGTAAGCAATTGTCCGTTAGTGGTACCTCCCAACTACCAATCCTCAATAGCGAAGCTGAAAAATTTGAAGCTTTCAACTTGTCATTTGTGCCTCCTAAAGCAGTCCCCTTTATTTCTTTTTTTCCTCCAGAGTAAAAATTTTCACGGTCTCTCATTGCAAGAGAAATAGTACTTTCTTGGGAAAGCCTCATCTGAATCAAGTCCAACAGAGAAGGACTCTTCCTTAGCTGCAGGCCTAAAGGACTCGGCTCACCAAGTGGATTGTACTGTGATGGTGGGATTGAAAATTCATTATTCCTGTAGCTCTACTGATACGAAAATAAATATATATATTAATACAAGGAAAAGAAAGGTAGAAAAGAGGTATACAAAACCAAAAATAAAAAATAAAAATGCAACAAGAACTCGAATCTGAGATACAGAAAATTCTTAGAGATAGAATTTTGGATCCTTGTCTACTTTTATTAATTTAAGGCCTTCTATTGATCAACCTCTGCATTGTCACTAACAACTCCAATCCTATTTTATTTATTTTTTGTAATATATAGAAAATAGAAAACAAAATATCTACAGTAAAAAATTGTTTAATTAAAAAACTAAACATAAACTAAACAAAAACGACAGAATCAGGAAAAAAACCTGATTGAGAGGTGAAGGTGATGAATTGGAGGACAAACGAGATCGTTTATTGACAGGCAGATACTGTTCTTCTGAAAAGTCTTCCCCTTTCATCATCCTGCTTCCTTCAAACGCCATTCCGATTAACAACAGTCGAGCCGTCCAAAAACAAGAATTAAATTCTTCCGAAATTGAATATCACTTGAACTTGAAATTCTTCAATTGCAAATTGGTAATCACAAACACTGTCGTCAAATAACGTTTATATAAATAAATCGTAATAATTCAAAAACCCTTAGGCCGAAAAAATTCTTTTGCCGTATCCGTGTGTTTTTATTGGATTGATTTGGATTTGAAGTCTTAACGAATATATAGACGCGGATTGGATACACATACAGGTAAGGCATTTGACTTTTGACTGGGTTTATTACCAAATTACCCATCTTTTTCCATCGAGATATTGTGTAATTTACTTTTCCTCTTATGTTTGTGTGGGCCCAGTTCCTTATCGACACGTGCTCCTACATGCTATATGTCGGGCAATGTAATATTTCTATAAATTGAGTAAAATTCATTAAAATGATGAATTTTGAAAATTCTTTTAAATTTGGTGTCATCATTTAATATTTTAATGAATTTTAATAAAATTCGTTAAAATTTAGGCATCCAAATTGAAATTTTAATGAAATTCAATGAAATCTTTTGAAATTTAAGTTTCTTCAATAATTAATGAATTTATAAAGATTTCATTAATCGAGGATTTTTAAAAGATTTAGATGGATTTTTCAAATTTAAAAATACATATAACTAAATCTTGTCAAATTTTTATTATATTCGATGAGATTCACGTGGGATTTGTGAAAATATATTCAAATTCGCAAAATTTATTAGGATTTATAGTATTTTAAAATTTATTAAAATCTTATTTGAGGACATCATTCTTAGATGTTTTCAATTGATATTTTATGGTGTGTTTGATTACATTTGTTTTTTAGGGAAAATATTAGTTTTTTACCCAAATTTCTATTTGGGGTGTTTGATTGCTATTTTTTCCATGTAAAACATTTTTCAACTTTTGAAAATATGTCTAATTTTCTTTATTTTTAAGGGAAATATTTCCCTTGGGTCGAGGTGGTTTTTGTCTTCCTAAAAGAAAGGAAAATATTTTCTTTTCTAGATAATATTTTTTATGTCAATCAAATGCACTCTTGATGAAATTCAATGAAATTCTTTAAAGTTTAGTTATACTCAATAACTAGTAGATATAGTGATTTTAAAATATTTGAATGGATTTTTAGCTTAAAAATATATATAGTCCTTGTTTGAGCCATATTATTTTCATAATACATTTTTAAATATTATATTAATGAAAAATGTGTAGTTAAAAAGTAAAAAAAAAAATTTCAATTTGAGTGTAATATTATTTTATTGAAAAGTATATTGTTGAAATGATGTCAAAGCACTGTTTAAGAATATGGGTCAAACATGATCATAATCAATCTTTTGAAATTTCACCATATTTGATGAAATGCTTATAAAGTTTTTGAAATTATATTCATCCACGAAATTCATAAGGATTTAAAATATTTTAAAATCTATTAAAATTTTATTTGAGCATACCGCTAAACTATAGTAATAATTTCAAGATAAAATAATAATAAATAGTTCACTTTTCAATAATATTTGACGTCCACAAAGTTTTTATAAATAAGCGATAACGAAGTTTGAATTATTTTATTTTATATTATAATAAAAGAGACAAATATACTTTTTTAAAAGTCGTCTTCAGCAAGTATTTAAATAATAAAAAAATCACGTAAAATATATGAAATAGGAGGTCAAATGCCACAGTATACATTACTGATTTTTCTGTTCATAATTAAAAAAAAAAAACTCTTGTTTTAATAAATTTAAAATTAGTTACACAATTCGTTAATAAATTCTTTTTGACGGCAAAATTCAATTCCGACCTACTATATATTTTCTAAATATGCCCATAAAGTTCAATTTTCTTTTTCTCCTTCAGGAAAGAACTCATCTTTCTACATAGCAAAACCGAAAGTGTTCTTCATTAAAAGTAAACTTGAACATGAACATGATAATTGAAAATGGGAATCAGGAATTTGGCAAGATGTATTCGACGGAAACGGACAAGAAACTCAAACTTCATGGTCCAATCCCATCCATTCACGACGAGAATTGTCTAAAATTTATAGAGCGTGTTATTATTAGTTTCGAAAAAGTTCAGAGTCACAACCACAAAGTAAAGATGAAATTGTACTGGCTGAACTCTTAATCTACTGCCTTTTATCTTGTGGCCTCATCAAGATGGCTATGGATTCCCACTCCAAACTGCATATAACGTCCTGCACGATAACATTGTTCTAATTAGTGAAATGGATGACTAAAACTTCACAAGGGACAAATGTGATAAAATTGAGAACGAAAAACAAAAGAATGGTAATTTGACAAACCGAGGGATTCTCTTTGTCAATGTCAAAGCTGTTGATGGCACATGGTTCGGCCAAAAGCTCGACTGGTTCTTCATCTATGGAATTAAGATAAAATGAATCAGAGCCCAATCGTCATGCATGAGTCTTCATTTGTTTAACCAGTTAGCAAGTACAAGAGCATGTTTGGCTAAGCTTTAATGATTTGAGTCACAAGTACATAAGCTTAGCCTTTGTTGGGGAAACAATTTTTAGCAATTTAAAAGTTACTTTTACCACCCATCAAAGTCAAACTTTAATCTCAATCGCACATTCATATTATCTACATATTTCTGTGGTCTCCACCACTACTTCTAAAAAGTTACTATTATTATCTACAATTCTACATATTTCATGGTCTCCACCCGTCAAAGTCAAACTTAATTTCAATCGCATATTCAAAAGTACTAGTCACTATTATCTACATATTTCGTGGTCTCCACCACTACTCCTAGAAAGTTACTCATAATATTTCCTTTGCATAGGCTAAAAGGAAATAGTTACTTTCAAAAGAAGCAACTTATCGCAACATGTTAACAGAAGTCAAGTAACTTCTAGTTCTTATTAGGCATCGCCACACACACTCTAAAATCTAAATCAAAACAGAACTTATCACTGATAACTGCATAGAATAAATGCAAAATGAAGTTAAGAAACACATACCTTGCTCAACCACAGCAAGTATTCCATCTTCCGAACAAATCATAGCAGGTAAGATCTTTGAAGATGAAACATTACCAGTGTTAGAAGAATGTCTATAACTGTCGTACTGGACCTCCCAAACCTCACTTTCGGATAACGAATTTGCTGGTCCACCACCAGCCCAAGCGCCAGACACTATTACAGGCTGTTGTTGCCAACGGATATCCCATGCAAATACAGTACCAGAAGAACCTCCTGCCTTCATACAGAGGAAAATAGAAAACTATTACACACTATTTCACAAAGCCAGGAAAGATATCTAGAGAGCCTAACTATGAAAGTCTCACAGAACATTCCAATTCCTGATCAATTCTTCATGGTGAGCGGATAAGCTCAAGTTGGCCTCTAAACTAAGCCTGTCATAACCAGGTCAAGGCATCCTAGATCCTAAAGTAAGGGCAAAATGGCAAAAGTTTCTGAAAAAGGAATAAGAACACCCATAACTAGTATTGAGAAAGAGGAAAGGAGTAGCCCTATAATCACACCAATATCCTTGATGGGAGAATTTAGGTTTAGAATTTTGAATACTGCACCACTATCTATGATATCTACATTGTAAATGAGTGAAATACACTGCATATCTTAAGAAATATGAAGCTCACTAGGAAAGATAAAAGAAGCCATACAAGGCAAGTGTGCTTCCGAGACCGATGAATATCAACAGAATGTACAATGCCAGAAGTAGTTCCTCGACTCCTATTAAGCACCACATAAACAAATTTCGGCAAATCATCAGTAAAAAGAATTATTGAGAAGGAAGAAAATTCCATAAGTAAAGTAGAATCTTGATTGGAAGTCGTGAAAACAAAAAAAAAAATAATAAAAATAAATTAAAATAAGCGAAGTGATTCAAGATATCATAAAGAGCTACCATTAAAATGGTTACCCTTGAAAATAAATGGAGTCCATTCAATGCCTCGAAGATAAGTACCTATCATGCCAAATGGATCATGTCTATATCAAAATCATACATCAAACAAAACATAGTTACAGTTTCTATATCAAGGTTTGCAAAAGGAACAGATTGACGAATCAAGAGGTATCCACACTACCTTGAAATTAGGCAGCTAAAGGACACAAAACCATCTCCCTCTTCAAGGATTCAGTTGGCAATTAGAAAAGAGATGCATTGCACACCAACTATCACTCAGAACAGATGACACCAACATAGGCAATTCAATTCTAATCTCACTCTCCACATTTCCTAGCATATGTCTGTCGATTTCATTCTAGTCCTTTTGACTTCAATCTATTTAGAAAGTTCTTGTTTGAAATATTATAATAGCTGGCAGTAAAACTAATTCAGGTTTACGATGTCAGGCCCAACAAGAGAAATATGAAAAACACAACATGGCATCACGAGTTTATTGGGCAATCTCAGTAACCACTATCCCAGACACATGACACGGATCAATTGGCATCCTATACCTATAAACTTAGTTTTACTTCCAGACTTGCAGTTACTAGCAAAGTCCAAGCCTCAGCTTCAGAACGTAATTTCGTGTGCTTAATATTCCACTAGCGGGTGAGGGAGGCAAGTGTAAAATAATATATCTAACCGTATTTCACAAATGAACAAGAAAATTAGAATGATTTACAAAAACTGTAAGCTCTTTTCTCTTTCTTTGCAGAACATATGCCAAAAAACACCCATTAATCAAATGGAATGCACCCTGGTGTAACAAATCAACTATGTTATTACTTCTTAACTTCTGCTGCAAATGTGTTGACTAAGATATAATCCAACATGTTAATTATGCAAATGTCTTAGAACTAACATACTGGTCACTCTGTCTTTAATCTACATAACCTTTAGTTGAAAACTTGCCAAGTTTCCACTTTCTTACAAATATTGCTTCAGTAAATAGATATTGCCAATTCTGGGAAAAAATATTACTCTACAAAAGAATCGGCAAAAAGTATTTAAAATCATTTTCAACATTACCAATTGCCCTTGAACTGCACCACAGGGCCACCAGGCTTTCGCTGATCCCACCAATGCATCCCGAATCCAAGCCCACCCGTCACGAACTCCACAGGTGACGCCCACTTCACCGTGCTATACGAAACCAAGCCATTGCTATCAAAAACCCTCCTCACACTCCATTTCTCACCTATACTCACCAAATCGACCCTCCCATTCTCCGCACTCACACACTCAGACCCATTATCACTCACATCAATCCCCGATACGGCCCCCAAATGAAGCCCCTTTTCGGGAACCGAAAATTCCAAATTCAATGACCCATCGATTAAATCCGCAGAATAAAAAAGCAAAGATCCGGAGAATGTTGATGCAGCAATCAGGGGTTTGGAGGGGTTTAAGGGAGACGGGGCGATTTTCAAGGAGGTGATTCTTGAAGGGGTGGACAGAGAACTTTGACGGGTCAAAGACGGGGTGCTTTTGGGATTCTGGGACGGCGTAAAAGTGAGGATTTGGATTGAAGGAGTGGAGGTGTCGGAGTCATAAGTAGCAAGAAGAATGCGGCGGGTGAAGGCGGAGAGTTGCGGGAGCCACCGCAGGGCGTCTATGTACGTGTATTGAGGAAGTCTGTGGATTTGTATGGGATTGGGGGAGGTGAAGGCCATTGGTGGGGGTGGACTGGAGCTGTGGAGGATCCTGAGAGGGTTTTGTTTTGAAGTTGTACGCTGTAGCAGGAGAGAGGTCCGGGGTCTAAACAGCACAAAAGCTCGTACCTATTGGATAAATTGCTAAAACTCCTACCTTTAGCATAAAATGTCCTTGCTGGAAACGTCTAGTTCGACTCCCCTCTTCAAATCAATAATTATTCATTTTCAAGAGCCCATTGATAGCAGCAACATCCAGCAACATAGGACTAATCATTTTGAAGCTTTGGTAGAGACGACTCTTTCTTTTGACATTGGAACCAAACCAAATTAAGATTTGGCTATTTGTCTTCGTGGAAAGGTTTAACGCAACTCGGCGAGTTAAGCGAGAGGAGGCCCCTAGAATTCATAGAGGCAACTTTAAAGTGAGAAGTACTAAACGGACTCCAAAGAAAGATAAGAATGTATTTTATTTAAACAATGGTATATGAGATTTCTTATCATTAAAAATTTTGATCAACCAACCATGCCCATTATATATATACCCCTCTCGATCCACCATTTTCATCAGTATCCAGGGCTTTTGATCTTTTAGGTGAATCGGCCCTTTCTATTTTTCAAATTCCAGTGAAAATGAATTTCTAGAGTCTGACTTCCCGGCATTAGAATTAGTGGGAAGCGCATTATTTTCTATTGAAGCACACCCATCTCTACACATCAAGGTGATGCAAATCTATACTTTCTTTGTTTCAATTGGATATCAAATGCTTGGATGAGTTTGAAAAAATGAGTATTTTTCGAAAATACTCGCTACATGGGGATTTTTTTTTTTCGTTTTAAGAAAAATAATTGGAACTCATCGGAGAAAAAGAAAGAAGTATCTTGGGTGGAGCCCCATCTCTCGTGACGGACTAAACTAATCTACTGATTTGTCAGTGAAGGAGAACTTCGAATCCAGCCAATTCACTTCTTTTCTTCGATAGGTGGTATTAGAAGTCAATTTCATGCCCCAAGATCCATTTTCGCAATAAAAATATATGAAATGACAAATATTCCTTCCCAATTAAATAAAATAAAAAGGAAAGAAAATAAAATTAAAAAACTTAATTACAATCATAATCCCAAAATGTTTCAAAACATAGAAATGAGTCCAAATAAATTAGGCTTAATTCTTCTTCCTCCCTAATCGATCCCACCCCCCACACCCACACCCACACCCACACCCTAAAAATCAAAATCACCATCACCTTCATCTTCTTCTTTCTCTCCCGCCACCACTCACAAGGTTGGCCCTAATATTTTGAGGGCCTCATGCCAACTTTAAATTTGGGGCCTTATTGAAGAAAAATCATCACATTTTTACTTCAGCCTTCTTATAATAAGTTTTAATATAATCATGAAGAATCTAATACAAATAACTAAGAACCAAAATTTGAAGAGGAAAATAACAAAATGTAAAAATTCAACATGCAATACAAATTATGCGTAAAGTTTGATAATATGATTATAATACAATGACAAATGGTTCTGTTCGTTTCTTTTAACATTTTCTCACTACAACTATTTAAAACAAAATTGAATATGCACTTGAGTGATTTATATACAAAATTGGAAAATGTTGATTGCGAGAGATAATATAACAAAATAATAAAAATGACGATAAAATACAAATGAGCCTCTAATTTTATATTAATTTATACTAAATTAACTAATAAATAAGAAATATGAATACGGACAAAGAATTATTAAATTCAAAGTACCCTTAACAAGCATATAAATATGCGATTAGAGATTAAAGCAAAACATTAACTGTATTATATGTTTTGAAGATAACGAAGAAATTGAAAAACCTGTCAGGCTGTAAAATCCCAGTGATACCAGAATAATATGTTAAATTGAATCTTCAAAATTTTAATTCAACGTGAGATAATTTATTTTTTGTTGGATTGAAGAAAATTATGGTGGATTATTGTTGGACGTGAAATTTAAGAGACGAAAAGACCTTTTTTAGTTAAGAAAAGAAAATGGATGTTTGGAAGATAAATGGTCAAATTACTTAGAGAGAGAGAGACTAATGTTTTCGATATATTAATAGAATAAATAAATGCAAGTGATAAATTTTATGCCATTTATATGTTTTTTCTAAAGATTTTTGTATTTCAATTTTTATTAGTTTCTTATTTTTGCATATTAGGCCTGAGCATTTTAATCGAAACCGAATTTCCTGAACCAAAATTGAATCGAAATAGGAGGTTCTGGTCCGGTTCCTCAAAAAAATAAATTAGGAACCAGAACCGATAACCGGCCGGTTCGATTCGATTCTTAGATCCTGAACTAGAACCATGTGTGCTCGAGTGGAAACGGTTTTTATAAAAAAAAAAATTATTTACAATTTATAGGTTGAAAAAACATATAAAACCTAAAAATCATAATTTTGGAAATAATTAGTCTAAACTTTAGACTTTGGCCTAAAAATAAGATTGGTTCTTACTTTTTTACATCTCACCTTACATCAGATTGTTGCATTTCAAATGTTACTATATGTTAATGTTTACAATTTGATCTTTTATAAATCAAAAATTTCAAACAGGTTGTGATATAAGTTGATAAATTAAAACGTTTATTCTTTGTAATTCAAGTTTTTTTACTTTCTTGTATTTTATTAAACTTAAGTGATTTTTAAAATTTTTCACAACGCATGATAATTGAATTTGATATATTCATTGCTTACGTTGTATTGTACATTTTTGTTATTTTGAGTTTGTGATTCTCTTTTTAAATATATATATTTTTATTTCTTATTCAAATAGAGCGAGTTTAATATGTGGACCTTAATTTTTTGATACTATATTAATTGTGTATTTAATTAGTATTTTTTATATCAGTCCGTTTTAAAAGTAGAAGAATTTAAGCATTAATCATAATTAAATTATATATATGCCTACTATGCCTCTCTTATAAATTGAATAAGATTTATTAAGAAAAATAATTTCTTCTCAAATTATAATTCTAATATTGATCTTTATTTTATTTTCGCATATTTTCATGGCTTTTAGCATTCAATATTTTCCTTCTTGAAAATTTTTTAACTGAATTTTCTCTATTGCACAAATATTTTCGAGGCATCGTATTAGGTACATGTACCAAAATGGTCCATGTGAAATATTTATTACATAAATATATATAAAAATGTTATAGGTAGAACCAAAATCAAATCGGAACCAACGATTCAGGTTCGGGTTTGGTTACAGTATTTACAAAGACCCGAATGGTTCCATTTGCGAAGTACTCGAAACATAGTGGATGGTTCTGGGTATTGAAATACCCGGACCGACTCACCCAATGCCCAGGCTTATTGCATATTGATAATTTTAAGGGTACCGTTATTTCCGTCCACATTTTTTATATATACATCCTATTCTAAGTTCATCCCTGATAAAATTTTAAAATTAAAAAAAAAATACTATTTGCATCTACGTTATATTCCAATCTTGTCTTTATTAAATTCATTCATTTAAATACCATATATCCATATGAATTTTATATATTCTTCCCATTTTAAATACTTCCCTAACACTATAGATTCACACAATTCCTAAAATCATAAATTCTTTTAAACCAACTTTGTATGTTGCATATATTGAAGACCTCTAATCTGAAAATTTTTGGCTAAAATTTCAAGACTTTACCCACCACGGAAATTGCACAGATCTTACCTTAAAACATTAATACTGTCTTTTAGCTAATCTTCATTAATGCACGTGAATTTGGGGCCACCCACATCTATAATTATATTCTTGTAATTTTTTCTAATATATTAGGATTCTAGTTAAACACAAATTCTAAAGAGAATGAAAAAAGATTTAGGATAATTTAATGAAAATAAAAATTTGTGGATCAATTTAGAGTTATGTATTTTTATTTAATTCTGTTTATGTCTATTTAAGTAAATTTATATAGGATTTAAAATATAATAAAAATTTATTGTAAAAGTGGATGTACATATAAAAAGTGTGGATAAAAATAGCGGTACCCTAATTCTACTTTTATAAATATAATTTTGTTTTTTTTAATCAATTAACCTTACATAATTTGGGGCCTCACCAGAGTATGTTCTTAGGCGATCGTTTACCTCGCCTATAGGCATATAGGCAAGGCTGTTGGCCCATCACTGACCGCTGTCGACAATCGTCATCGCCACCGCGACAATGGATCCACACAAGCTGAAATGGGAAAGAATGAATGAATGGGAAAAATGGGTTTTGGCTAAAGGGTTAAGGGTTTGTTACAAATGGAGCGCCCATTTTCATCCATTGTCTGCCAAATATGTTAAAGAAATGGTTGATGAGCATTTGATTGAATAAATGAGATTATGGAAGAGATTAAACAGACGTCAAAAGCAACAACTTATGAGGAAGTGATGGACTTAGTTCATGCTCATGCTTCACTTTGTGGGGCATGAGATTATACCCACTAAACCTTGTGGACACAAAATCAGAAGTGACTCGTGATGTTTTACCAGATTGGACAGGGGTAGAGAACGGTAAAAGAATAACTAATCATCTCTACGCGATGGGGATATATTGGCCTGTAATGCCAAATTGGTTTTTGGTGGACCAACCCATTTGGACTATGATGATAAAAATATGTGACCCAACAGATACTACAGGCCCTTGCCCAATAACGCACTGTGATTGACTCTATTGACCCGACCCAAACCATCTGACTCACGTGTGTCGCTCTGGTCCGTTTGATCTCCTAAATCTAACATCTACGGTGATGACCCATTAATATAAATATAAGGTCTAAGATTTTTTGCCCCTAATTTTTTCATTTTTACGCCTCTTCGTGAGTCTTCTGTGGAATCTTCTGAGCTTCTTCTCTTCGTGACTTTGTGTCTCTGCCTCTTCTTCTTCTTGGTGAAACTCTTCCTTTAATCAGAAAACCCTTGTTTTTCTGAAGGTTCTGAGTGTGTAGAATCTTGGTGATTCTTCGATCTTGAGTTGTGAAGAGTTCTCTGTTGGTTTCTTGGAGAGTCTCTCTCGTTCCATTGAAGTGACTGTGTTTGGGTCTGCGTTTTGTGAGTCTAATCCTTTGTACAGACGGGTACAAGGAGTAATCTGAGCCCAATCAATGAGAACTTGATGCCTTAGT